TTAAATATTCTAAATAAAAATTAAGTTTATTAAAATTAAACTAAAGTTGAACAAAATGAATAACTAATTAAAAAAAGTGTATTAATTATAGTTAAAGCAATCCATAAAAAAGAGTAAATTGCAACTAAAATTTTATACAACTTAAATTATGGTAGATTCTTGATATTTAGTTTTGTTTTTTTTAATTTAATAATTGTAAACTATATGAAAAATTATCTTATTTTTATTTTATAATTTAATACTATGTCAATTAAATATAAATTAAAGAACTCTTTGATCAACAAATTTCTAATAGAATAGAACTGGAGCAGGGCAACCTCAAATTTGGGTTGAACTCAAACTCAAAGGTAAAACAATATTAACAAGAAAAAAAAAAAAAGAAAAAAACTCAAAAGTAAAACTGAAGCCTAGTCGAAGCAAGTAAAGAACTGTTTAAGTTTGGTTTTTTTTTTTATTAATATCTTATAATTACATGGAATGTTAATTAATTTAAAATTAAATTATATTGAACCTATTAAAAAAATTTACAAAATTTATTTTTTATTTTTAAAATTTAAATTTAAAATCTTATATAAAAAAATCAAATTCATTTCTTTAAAACTATATCGTTTTTCGTCCTGTATCCGAGATTTCGTCCCGATTAATTTGTATCGATACGTGTCGCGCACTTGAAAATAATGGGTGAATTTTCTAACAGAAGTTGCTGCGTACACAAAGTCTTAAACTCAAAATCTTATTTAAACTGAAACAAACGACCTACCATTTGATCCAACCCTTCGTTGGTGATCATGTTCGGCTTTGATTCAACATATTTTGCAGCTGTAGGGTCTAGTTGCCACCCGAGAATGAGGCGGCGCGTGAGGAAAAAATGGAAAAAAAGGAAAAAAAAAAAAAAAAGAGTAAAGGCGAAAGCAAAGCGGTGGTGTGGCTTGTGACCGTGATGAGATGATAATAATTGAAGAATTTGGATAAGGGGGCACCGGCATTGTTAGTTTGGTGTTGGAGTGGGTCTCACAATCAGCCTTTTTCTGTGGAGTAGTCCCCAATCGCCTGAAAGCTCGAAACCCCAAAGACCCCCTCCCAACAGTTTCTGTTTCTCTTCCTCCTGTCATGGCTGGTTGTTCGAAGTTCCAACAGTCGAACTCGAAGATTGCTTTTCTTTTCTTTTTTTTTTTTTTCGTTAAATTCCAACCAACTTTTTAATAATAAAATAAAAACTAATTTAATACAAAAAAAAATTTACTGATATTGACCCTATTGGTAGTTCTAAAATAATTTTGTTTATCTTACTCACTTTAATTATTCATATTATTATAAATTTTTTTATTTCAAAAATATTATAAATAAATATATAAATTATCTTTAAAATTTTAATTTAAAGATTTTTAAAAATAATTATTTTGAAATAAAAGAATAATATTTTAAATAAAAAATAAAAATCAAAACATTATGTATTAATTCAATTCAACTTTAGTTGTCTTTTTTTTTTTTTAATTTGGAATGTTAAGCATTAGTTGTCCATTTTTCTATTTTAAAATGTCATTTGATGTATTTTATTTTTAGTTTACTATTTTTTATTCCAAAAATAACTATTACTTTTATTTTTCTCTATATTAAGAATTTAAAATTAATATTTATATTTATTTATAATATCCTTTAAAAA